AACATTTTAGATGCAAACCGATATTACATTTACTGCACATTTTTCTAGTGTGTTGATGACAATACCCGCATCTTCGCTGTGAACAGTCGACTTGTGCATGATCATCTGCAGTTCCTGCGTTTCTCACTTCATTAGGCACTCTCAGTTGCAGAGGGGCGCCACAAGCAGAATTTCGGGTCGTAGGTTTTCCGTACATTGCTAGGTAAGTTGTCACCACATTTCGCCGGAAGTCACAGTAGGACCAGTTATTTTCTGACTGCCTTTTGATCAGCCATGCATTTTATCAAGCTGCATCTAATCCAAATGCAAAGAGAGGGAACCACCATTTTTTACCCCGAATAGCTACTCTCATAGAGTCAACATTTTATGTATTTGTTGTACATTTTTAATTTACAACAGCTGGGCAATCAACTTGTATTTTGGACTTTTTTTATCAACAAATCCAATTCGATCTACTTTTGTGACAGGATCTAATCCATGGCAGTTGGATAAAATGGTCACAGTGTTGTTTGCGACAATAATCCCATCAGATGCTCTATGATATAACTTTCCTATGGGTTCTTTCTTCATCTCTTTGGAATTTGGAAGTTTGCAGTTCTCCAAGTGATTTTCGCGAACAGTTCCAGTGCCTCCTATATTATGCTCTCGCAAATATTTTATCAAAGGTAAACCAGTAAAAAAATTATCAAAATACAAGTTATATGGTCCCAACTCTTGTGGCAAACTTTCATGAAGTTCTAAGACAACAGCAGCACCTAAGCCCAAGTAAAATTGCATCTTGAGACTGGGACCAGACGCAACCTGACAAGGCTCACAATTTACTAAATACCCATGGCGAGTAGCGGATGACCAAAGCTTGTAACCAAATCTAATGGGTTTTCCGTGTATGTGTTGTTACCGTGCCTCCCAAAATATGGTACTATAGTTTTATCAGTCGAAATATGAGAGGGGCCAGCTCTCCTGAAGTTTGCTGTGAAATTTTTATCCAGTTTTGTGAAATATTCTCGAACTTTAGCAAATTTGAGATGTACTGTGGCAAAGATGAATATATTGCTGAATTTCGAAAAACCTATTACGCCTAATGCTAGATGCTACTAAGTCATTGTGTGTGTCACTTTTTACTTCCCAGAACATCCTCATATATTTTGGCGTCAAATACCCTGTTAGTAACAGTATCGAAATATATACTCTAATTTCCTCCGTAGTTACATTCAGAGTATGATTCCTTTGTAAGGCATAGGGATTGGACATCTCAACTATATAGCTAATCAGTTCATCACTATAAAGCAATTCAAAACATTGGATAGGAGTTATCTCCTCCTGTAAGTGGGCAAAAACTTCTTCATCTCGGTCTCCTTTACCACAAATCGTAATAGAAGCAGTGGTTTCATAATCGTGCCATTTTTTTACTGTATTTTCTTTTTTCTTCATTTTCTTTCGGGCAGGCATGGATTCTTCTAATTCTTCCTCGTCAAGATTTTCTCCAGACATGGAAGGGTGGTTCTGTGTCTCAACTAGATCGTAGCATGCGACTAGGAAGATGAAGGATATTAGCTTCATTTTCATCACTACTGTCTTCATCAGTTACGTCGCCGTCGTCAGGAGGAAATAAAATTATATCACCTTGGTCTTCTTCGGCCTGCAACGCCTCGACAATCTCGTCTAACGTCAACCTATAATAAAAAGAAACAATTTGTATAAGCACAGCGATATGACCAACATATAACAAAGTTTTGTAAAAACAGTAGAAATACATAATATAATGCCCAGTGTCACCTGCAGGTGACACCGCACATTTTGGTTGCTATAACAATACCAGTATTAGTTTATATTTTCAATAAATACTTGTATATTATAGCTTACATATTAATTTTTAACATTTGATAAGAAAAAAACACAATACTTACGGTTTGGGCATTTTATTTTCACTTTTTCCTGCAATAGATCACAAAAACGCAAGTTGATGCAATTACGCGCAAAATAACTTTGTGACATTGACAGTTGACGTATGGTATCTGTTGCCAAATATAAAAATTGTCAAGTGGTACTCTTTGACATTACTACCATAGTGGTAGAATTAAGAAATAATATTTCCATGTGGTATAAAATAATGATTAAACTTCTGTCACCTACAGGTGACACTGGAAATTGACGAGTTAAACTTTAAACCTTTATGAAGTTTGAGAACTGAATATAAGATGTACAATTTCCTAACAGTACTTACAGCATTACTTATAGCATAAAGATCTTCTGTATCTTTGGTTTAAAATGCATAACTTTTATTAAAGTTCTCTGTGCCCTTTCAACTTCTAGAAATTTGGTATTTGTAGTTCCACCCCATACAGGAATACAATACACTAAAACAGATTGAGCCAAAGCAATATATATGTGGTAAAGTAACTTTTTCGTCTTAGTATTTTAAATGTCCATGTAAGTTTCCGTGGTCTATTCATGAATAAATTCAATGTGTCTATGCCATGACAAATGTTGATCAACTATGACTACTAAATACTTGGTTTCAGAGACCTTACCAATTAATGAATAGCTGCAACTAGTGCTTACGGGATCATAGCATGTGCGAAGTTTAATTTGGAAATTAATATTAGACTGAGTTTGAATATAATTTGTAAAACATAATAACTAGTTTTCAAAGTATTTAAAGTAAGTTGGCTAGTGTTCCGCTACTTAGAGATCCTAGCAAGACCTTTTTCAGCAGATCTACGAACAGAATCCCAGGAGTAACCAGTAAATATTACTGCAGTATCATCTGAATGGGAGTTTTGGTTAGATTATTTATGTAGATTAAAAACAAAATGGGACCCAGGACACTCCACTGCGGAACTCTCGAATGTTATATCTGATTCATCCCTTAAGTATTCACCTATCTTTACTCTTTGCTGGCAATCCTTAAGATAGTCTTAAAATAAATCTAAGTGTAGAGTATCCTATATACTCAAGCCTGAGCAAAAGGATTGATTTTACGTATTTCCAGGAGATCCTCTTAAGCGGCAGACTTAGATTGCAGCTTGTAGAAATCATGAATCTTGGATACCTAACCGGACTAGCACCATTTGCTCCGAACATTTTGAAAAATCGTATTTCATATCCCAAGTTATCAATAAAAGAAGGTTAGCCAATACTGCTTTACTAACCTTGAACTTGTGGAAGGTAATGTCTAGCTGTAATTATATCAATAGATTAAACAGTTTTATTATTACCCCTGGCACCAATATTATTCTTCTTGAAAATATTTTGGAATGTCGACAAGTTTACAATCATGACTTCTTATATTTAGGCGAACACTACATATTTAATGAAACGGATACGGATTTTATCGCGTTAAATTTTAACTTTTGAGTCCCGACGTTTCAGGTGCTTTACAGTACGAACTTTAATATCGTACCTTTGATAAAATGTGGGACGTGCTGAGGCGGCGCGGCACAAAAACGACCGTATCTAAGCGAATAGACTGTACACCATGGAAAATTGAACTAAAAACGCCTCATAATAAAAAGAAACATCGTAAAAAGGATTCAATGGCAGTGACAACCGATGGGGGGAAAAAGATTCTCGAGTACTCGAGTAGTACTACCTCTTGGGGGAGGCCTATGTTCAGCAACGAACTTGTGAAGAATTGTAGGTAATGAATGCAAACATACTAAAAATAACTTTTACCAACGTTGAACTTATGCGGACTATGTTGATTTGTTTATCGATAAAAATATCGACATAGTTCTCGCCTTACGTTGCTTACGCATGTAGACTGCGGCACTAGTGTATCGACACGTGTACAATTTGATGGTATGCCTAAATGCAATGAACACAAACATAAAAGCTGTAGTAACGTGGTTCAATTTTGCATTTGTAGTGAAGTATAAAGTAGTGTGTTTTTTTTGTGCCGCCCTGAAATTGACAAACTTTTTTAATGCGCGTGTCCTCTCCAGTTAGTTTAATATTTAGGTCGTCATCGACTGTCCACTAGATTAAACAGTCGTCAAAATCTCCCAAAAACTTCGCAATGTGACGCATTAGAGTATTGGGGAGAAATATACAATTAAGTATATGTATACATACGTGGTAGCTCAGAGTGGGCCGTGGTAGCTCAGATGGTTAACGCTCGCTGTAAATATAACAGAACGCGATTAACCCGGGTTCGATCCCCGCCGGCATCAATGAAATTGTTAATTGCAATTTTAAGTGCTGATTTACCACGTGCTCGGCGGTGAAGGAAAACATCATGAGGAAATCTGCATGTCTGAGGAATAGGAAAAAATATTTCGAAGAAGTGTGAAGTTTGCCAACACGCATTGGGGCAGCGCGGCGGACAATTCCTTGCCCTAAAACACTTTCAGAAATTAGGGAAGGCTTTACTTTTTACTTTATATAATTAGTTATCTTTGTTAAAAAATATTTTTTTTTTTTATAAAAATTGCAAAATGATTCCTTACACGCATTTTTTTCCCCATATTACACTAACCGGAACACGAATATCAAAACAACTCATTTTTTTTCAGATTTCTTGATTTCGTTTAGATTTTCACAATATCTATAGGCCATTTACTATTATAATTTGGTATTTTTTCTTGTGTAATACCGTTAAGGGTCATTAATATTTCTAGTGGCTCAAAAATGATTGTCTACTATATAGAAATCACAGACTAATATGATACTTACGTATAATAGAAATGTAAATCCTCATGTAGAAATGTAGTATGATAGAAATGAAAATCCTGAATGATATCAAGACATGGCTTAAAAGATAAGCATCGAAGCCAAAAATTTTGATAAAAAGAAACATATTTAATATATTTATTTATCTATGATTTATATTTGACAGTTAAATACATCGAGAGATTTATCTTGGCGTTAAAATATTTTAAAATCAATAAAAAAATTATGTGCTTATCTTGTTAGACCTTTGAAATATATCTTTTAGGTGGATTGTGACAGTTACATTGCACATTTTTATTATAAAGGGTTAATATCAGATGAATAAAAACATGGTATGTGTGCAGTGACAATGTAATGTAATATTTGTTTATTTATGTAACTGCTTGCGTATATAGCGATACGTGAAAGTTTTCGGTCAATTGTTACAGAATCAATCGAGAGTTGATAATATTTGCCCCCCGGGACATCTGAGAGTAATCTTGCCCTCGTCCATAGAAGCCAACATGAACATGCCTCCACCTTTTATTGACATTATAAGTAAGGCTTAGTACATACTCTTTTATCTCGTACACGATAACAGTAGTGTATTAGCTGAAGTAGTAGTAAGGTTGTTAAACACTTATCCTAATCATTTTCATAGAATTAGATAACTGTCTGCACATCTTAAGGTTTGTCATTAAATTTGTGTTTTTAGAAATAATCTATCTGTTATCAAACTTGTTGTTGTTGCCTCTGTAAACTATGATTTTATGTTATCATGACCGTGTGTCAATCCAGGAAGTATGTAACTAAAAATAATGTTTTTCATACCACAGAAAGCTATAGAGCTTGATCTTTTACTTAATGATTTACTCTCTGTATGTTTTGTAGCCTTTAGACCTAAGATAATATTAATTTATCATTTTTTTTAAAAAAGAATATTATCAATGTTATAAACATTACTAATATTCCCCTTAACCACTCGTGGTAAGCTTAAATTGCTTGTGTTACGAGTGGTTCACGTCAGTAGTCGAATGGCGGATTCAAACTAATGACCTTTTTAGACCCTTAATATATCTCTTCTGTAGATTAGTATGCTGAAGTGACAATGGGCTCGCCATATAGCTTGAAGAATTGACAGCTGATGAAGAAGAAAGGTTCTTGAGTGGCAGCCTCATACCGGTAGACAAAGTGTATACTAGATGGAATGTGTGTTCTAGATGGAGTGACAACCTGGTAGGATAAGCAGAAGTTGATAGATGCAGATGGATCAGGACCGTGTTTTGTGGCATTCTTTAGGGAAGCCTATGTTCAGCAGCAGACTTGTGAAGGGCTGTAATAATCATCATCAGCCTGTGGCAAGCCATTGCTGTACGTAGGCCTCTCCTAGGGTGCGTCACATAGCCCGATCTTCAGCTTCATACATCCAGTTGCGGCCAGTGCCTTGTGCAGATCGTCGCTCCATCTAGCCAGGGGGCATCCCACACTATGTTTACCTAAACGCGGTCTCCACCCTATAATAATTCTTTAACATTGTCATGTCACCTTTCTTGTAAAACAAGACTTGATGCTTCTGCTCCATGCCATTTGAGTTCTCCCACCATCCCATTAAGCAACAATTGTCCCCCCCTTTCAAGAGCTCTGTTGTAACTCCATTCTCTCCAGGGGCTTTTCCATTTTTAAGCTGTCTGAGCGCCAGCCTTATCTCCTCTAGATATATCTGGCAGCTCGTTGGTAAAGTGGTGAGTTAGTGTGGCTTTGGGATCGTTGTGTTTGGGGTCAGATTGCTGATTTTAGGAGGCATATAGTTTATCGTAGTAGCCTTTGATCTCAGTGATAATCTCAGGCTTTGACCTGAGGGTTTTGCATCACATGTCTTCATTTTTGTAATGTGGCTCCTCCCAAGCTTCTGAATAAAGACTAGAACCCTAGTTTCACTTTATTGCTTCTTAAATAAAGGTTGCATTAGAGCGACACAGGTCCCGCCGTACAGCTTTACTTACGAGTCTGGTGAGTGCCAACTATTCTGATGGCGCGGCTGTTGTTGCCTCACGTTGCTTTTGCATAAGCTGAAGTATCTCGTCAGAGAGCTTAGACTTCTGGCCTATATGTTGCCTACTGCACAACCTATTCTCATCCCTTAAGGTCATAACCACACTAGTGAGATCCTCATCAATGTTCAATGTGGGTTTTAGGGCTTTGAATCAATTTCGGAGTCTCAACTGGAAACATTGGGATCCCGCTACGGTTTGAAAGACATTTGATCAGATTTTAGACTTCATCAGATGGGCTCTTTCAATAGTGAAATTGATATTCAGAGTGCCTCGAACAAGTCGGTAGACGTGTGTAACTCTTTATGGAACCGACTCACTGATCCAAATCACTGAAGTGATTCAAAGGATTGGTTCAGGAACAATGTTTCAAATGCATCATATGGATCTAGAACATTACTTTGCTCTGTGCTCATTTATTTAGTCTCTCTCGTGAGGCGACTAAACCGCGAGCGAGAGAGTGGCGAGTGAGTGGGCGAAATAATTAAAATCTATGCAAGTCAGAAAGAGATAACAAATGAGAAGTGTGTCACTCAACTCGTACGGATTTTTGCTATAGTTATTCATGCACGTGAAAATGACCACTAAGGCGCTTACATATCAAATACTATATGGTCGTTTTTTGCATTAACAATTTGTCATTTTATGTTGATCCGGCAGGTCAAATTCTTTATGTTCATTCGCGCAAACATATTGAGTTCTGTGTAGGATTTCTTTGGGTAGTGATTAATGATTATTGTTACTTACTTTCTTCCTTTTCATCATAAATAGTACATACACCAACTAGCCATAAATTAAGGACTAGCTGCCAGTCCTTAGCCTGGATAAATTATGAAAGAGGATCAATTTTATATAAAACCTTATTATGGTGCAAAATCGGCAAAGGCCTCCAACCTTTTCCACTCGTTTCTATCCTTGGCAACCCGGCTCCAAGTCACACCCGCAAAATTGACCAGGTTGTCCTCCCATCTTTGGCGGGGTCTCCCCCTCTTTCTTATGCCATTCCTGGGGTACCATTCTGTGACCTTCCTGCTCCACTTTTCCTTCCCTCTACTCATATGCCCAGCCCATTCCCACTTTAATTTCTTGACTTTTGTTGCTATGTCCCGAACCTTTGTGTTTTTCCTAATGTCTTCTAACCTGACTCGATCCTTTTTCCTGATTCCCATCATGCTTCGCGCCATCGAATGCTGGCATATGTTTAATTTCTTACTGTTTAACTTAGTAGGTGCCCATGTTTGACATCCATACATCAATATAGGAAGAATGCATGTGTTGAACACTTTAGATTTAATGGATATGTGCAGTTCTTTATCTTTCATTATTTCCTTCATGCTCCAATATCTTTTCCATCCATTTGCTACTCTACTGTTGATTTCTTTTTCCATGTTGTCTGTGGGTGAGATCATTTGGACCAGATAGATAGATTATTCATGGCCAACAATCCTATGTTTTCATTCTTGGTCCTTTGGTCATTATTTTCGTTTTCTCCATGTTCATTTTTAATCCCACTGTGTGACTTTCTATTGCCAGGTCATTTGCCATGACATTCAGTTCATGTGGGGTTTTTGCAAAGAGAACGATGTCGTCTGCAAATCTTAAATGTGTTAACCAAGTTCCATCAATACTTATTCCATATCCGTCCCAATTTAGTCTTCTAAATATCATCTCAAGGGCCGCAGAAAAAAGTTTTGGGGATAGCGGGTCGCCCTGTCGCACACCTTTTTGTATGCTAAATGGTTCTCCTTTCTTTTCTAACTGTATGCATGCTGTACTTTTCTTGTATATCTCTCTCAGTATCCTTATGTACTTGCTTTCGATACCTTGTTCTTTTAGGGCCTGCCATATCTTATTGTGAAATAAGTAAAGCCTTGCTGTAGTCTATATATGCCATGTAATATAATTGGTTGTATTCATGGGATTTTTCTATAATCTGCCTCATAACATGTATATGGTCCAATACTGAGTACCCTCTACGAAAACCTGCTTGCTCGTCTGGTTGGTTGTCGTCTAATTTTCTTTCCAGTCTTCTTAGCAGTATTTTCGCAAATATTTTGTATAAGTTGGACATAAGGCTGATCGGGCGATAATTACCTATATTAAGTTTATCACCCTTTTTATATAACAATACTATATTAGATTGCGTCCATTGTATCGGGATAATTTCGTTTGCGAAAATTTCATTACATAGTTTCGTGATAATTGGTAACAGGACATTTTTTGCCATTAATAGGATTTCATTTTCAATGCCATCTGGCCCTGGGGCTTTGTCTTTACTTTGGGACTGTAATGCTACTTCTACCTCTCGTTGCAGTATATAGGGTATGCTCTCATCCTCATCATCGTTTAGTACTATCAATTCGCCAGGTTCTTTTTGTGTGTTCTCATATAATTGTTTATAGTATGATGTAGCAATATCTTTTATGTCTGATCTTCTATTTTGTTCTATTCCTTTCTCATTTCTAACTTTTGTAACCCAATCTTTTGCAGTTTTGCAGTGACAGTTCTTTATATGCTTTTTTTGTTCCTCCTGTTCTAATGATTTGCTCTTCTATTTTTTTCTTCTGTTTTGTTTTCTATCCCTTCTCATACTCTGTTTTATATCTTTACTCAGCTCTGATATGCGTTTTCTACGATACTCTGTGTCTCTGGAACTGATTACTTGTTTCCTTGCTTCGAGTAGATTTTTTGTTTTTATTGATAAATAGCTTTTCTTCTTTTCTTTATTAGTGCAGGTACTTTTTTGCTAGTTTGATTGAAGTCTCAAACCAGTCGTATTTCTGTTGAATATCTAGGTTCTTGGTTTCTTTCTCAAAGTCTCACATCTTTCGGTTAGTTTATTTGCAGCTTCTTTTAGGTTTTGAATACTAAACTTACCAACAAAGTTCCTCCTGGGTCTTTGTGTCTTTATATGTCGTAGTGTAAGATCTGCCCTGACCATTCTATGGTTTGTGTTGAAATTAAATTTGTTCACAACATTTAAATCGGTGAAACACATTGGTTTGTTGATGAGAACAAAGTCAATTTAATTTTTGTATTTGCCTCCTGGTGATACCCATGTCCGTTTCCTTGAACTTTTCTTTTTAAATTTGCTGTTTAGAATATAGAGGTTGTTTTCGAAAGACATATTAATGAGTCTTGTTCCATTTTTGCTTCGTCGAGTTCCATATGTAAAAGGTCCGAGAACACGTTTTTCTTCTGGCAAGCTTTCACCTGTCTGGCCGTTGAAGTCTCCCATTACTATTAAGTTTTTATGCGTATGTCTCTCTGTAGTACTGTTTAGATTCTCATAGAATTCTTCAATTGTCTTTTTGTCTGCTTGTTCAGTTGGAGAGTAAACTTGCACAACAGACCACAAATCTTCGTAATTGGCTAACTTTATATTTAGCACTGCTAAACGGTCCGAAATTCCTATGAACTCATCAACATATTGTTCCATGTGCTTTTTGAGAATAAATCCTACCCCATTTTGGCCTTCTTTTTCGCCTATGTGATATAGAAGGAAGTCCTCGCATTCTTGTATGTTTTCTCCAGCTCGTCTTACTTCACTGAGACCCAGAATGTCCCATTTGATATCATTTAATGCTTTAGTAGTCAGAAAAATAATTGCATTTTAATCTATTTACCACAACCAAAAAAAATATTTCAAGACACTCTCAAAATAGGGGAGGCCTGAGCCCAGCAGTGAAATATAGCTTAACTTTACTTTACTTTTAGTTCTGTTAGACTCTCATCCGACTTTAGGGTTAGAACATTAAGTCCTGCAATTTGTATACTTTCTTTAAAGGGTGCATTACATTTTTCTTTGTTGTTAATGTTGTTGTTTTCTAGTGTATGTTTGTTTGGTTTTTTGTAGGTTGGTGGGTGGTGGTCTAATTCCCCACGGGGACCAGCCGGGTTGGGGAATGTTAATTTGGTTTTGGTGGTATTCGTTGTTTTACTGTTTTTATTTCGACTACCACCTATTTCTAGTTTTTTGATGTCTCCTCTATATTCGAATTTGATTGGCTTCTCATTCTTTCTGCTGGGTTGATTCTCGACATTTTAGCAGGTTGGTATAACTTGGGTTCTCCACGGGCTTTGCTGAAGTTGTCTGGGGGAGTAGTAGAAGGTGGGGTGGATTGGGTTCTCTTCCTCTTTTCAGGTTCCGTTTTGTCTCGTATAATTAATTTGCCATTCCTTATTGTTGCATACTTTCCAGATGGTCTGGCTTCCTTCATTTTTGGGATAAGAGTCTTTCTTTCTTCCAGTTCCTCTTTAGACAGATCTTTTGTTACGTAGACTCCTCTGGGAATTTTTTCTTCTTTTTCAAGATTTCGTTTCTTCTCCATGTTAAGGTACATGAAATTTTTATAGGTCTTATCTTGCCTTCTGTCTTTTTCCCAACTCTGTATATGCTGCTAAGTTCCCATTTATCCCAGTCGTGTTTCTCTTCCTCCGCTTGTTCTGTTGTTCAAGGAACGTTGAATAGTTCTATCACAGTATTCATTAATTCTCGATTGTTATTTTCAGTTTCTTCAACCCCGTGCAGTAAGACATTATTTTTCCTTGTTTCAAGTTCCAGATATTTTACTTTCGATCTTAGTAGCAAAATCTCAGACTTCATAGCTTCGTTTTCCTTTTTTATTGGTAACAGTTGCTCTTCAATAGTTTTGGTGATAGTCTCGGTTATGGTTTGGGTTTGTTTATCATTTTGTTTTTCAATCTCTTCCTTTATAGTGGCCAACAGCATTTTTGTTTGTTCGTCCATACTTGGTACCGATTTTCTACCAAATTGGTAGATTTTGGCTTGACCTGGCAACTTTTGTGGGTTTTGACAGTAGTTGGACTTCCAATTTTTGTCTATGGTATTTAATAACTTCAAAATAATTGTGCAAATTTTCGATGGTTATTTCACTGTACTTATCACTTCCCACGAAAGGATTATTAGTTTAAATTTATCAACACTGTTTGTTTGCTATTTTTAGTGCACTTTTTTTCCGGTCGGTCACTTTTCTACTATTGTTACTAATTAAAAATGCGGAGATGATCACTACGTAATGTTCACAGTTTGACAGTTGGTCGTCGTCCAATCTAAATAATCGTCGTCTAATCTAAGTCATATAAAATCTAGATTTTATATGACTTAGATATTAAGAAATTGTATTACGTACTGTTGAATAAATGGCTTTATTATTATTATGGTGCAAAATAAAAGTAAATAAATAAATAAATATAATATAAAATAAAAATAACCTAAGCACTTATATCATTCAGCATTGTTGCCACATAACATTTCACTGAATCAATCAGTAATAAATGCCCGCGACACAACTTAATGTATTCGTAACATTCTGTATTTTATATCTTTTGAGTCGATGATCCAAATGAGCCAAATGAAACATATCAGTGTTTCGGAACATTCAGTGATTGAGATGCAAATGTTCCAATCGCAAAAATGATACACTTTTCCCACCTCCACAAGTCGGTGATCGCTTCCGGTATTAAACCTATTGATCACTGAGACATCTCTGAATATGTACTTTTTGTCCGTCACGATGAAGTCAATCTCATTTTTCGTCTGTCGTCGGGGCTGCGCCAGGTCCACTTCCTTTGGAGTTTTTTTTTTGAAAATAGGAGTTCATTAGATAAAACCTTTCCTTTTCGAGGAAGTTCATCAGCATTTGCCCCCTGTGGTTTCTGCTTCCAAATTCGTGCGATCCCATAATTAATTCAACACCTGTATGTTTCCCAACTTTGGCATTAGGGTCCCCCATGACGACATTAAAGTGGGCTTTAGTGGTGTTGTGCAAAGCCTTCGCTATGTCTTCATACATAACTTCAACTTCATCGTCCAAGTGTGTCGAAGTTGTTGCGTAAACTTGTACAATTTTTACAGTATATTTTTCAGTTAGTTTTAAAATAAGATTCACTACCCTCATCGACACACTGGAGATTTCTATCTATGTTGTCACAGAGAACTCAGTTGACGAAGAAGCTCACTCCACCCTGGAAAAGATCATATACCTCATGATAGTAGAGTAGGTGGCCTGATTCTAGGATTAGCGTGTGCTCTCCCTCTCTTCGAACTTCACTCAATCCCAGAATGTGCCATCTTACATTTTTCAACTCTATTTCTAATTCTGCAGTGTTCTTGTCATGCCGCAGAGTTTGTCCATGGTACGTCACCAGGTCCAGTTTGTAGTGGTATCCTGCCTTCTCCCGGGGATTCTTAGCACCCCCTGTACCACGGCCGGGAACTGGTGGGCCGTGTTTTTTTGGTGCTTAACATTGGGAGTTTTTGCCCTTAATCGCCACACTGGGCAAGCGGGTTGTAGATCGCAGTATCAAGCACGTCGCACCTGTGACGCTGCTGACCGTCACAGATCTGGATATTTTTACCCTGACCAGAGAACTGAGATGGTTATTCCGCAATTTGTCAGATGCCAAAGCTTGTTTTTTTTTTGGCTTTTCGCCCTAGCCGCCTCGTACGACACCCACGGGTTGAGAGGGTGTGGCAAAATTATAACGCCGCTGCCACACGGCTCAATAATGATGATGATAATAGCTTTTCATAAAATTTAATAATAAATTAGAAAGTAAAATTTATATTGATTCACTTATTTTTTTAAGGTAATGCTCATGACATACCACCACCACAAGCGGATTTCTCTGCTCCTCCACCTTATGATGTTGCTGCTAATTCAAAGCTACCTACCTATGAAGAAGTGCAACGTGAAAAACAAATGGAAGGAGAGGGGCCACTTCCGGTAGTATAAATTATTCAAAGTAGTTTAAATAAATAAATATCAGTAATAATTTAATGTATAAAAATAAAAATAATCAATTTAAATTATAAAATTTCATTATTAGGAAATCTTTTAGTTTGAAATGGTGGCATGATCTTTAAAATCAAACACTTAGTCTTCTAATTGTATAGTATTTTACGCTTTACAACTGCCTAATCGCATACCATCACAAAATAAAACACTTTCTCATAACTTTAGTAATCTCTATTATAATTTGCTAATACTCACTTTGCACTAAACATACTATTAACACAACTGTAGCTTTGCTAATGTCCATTTTGTTCTCCAACTTATGGATTTGTAGTAATAAAAGGGTATGGATTTGACTTTGGTAATGGTAATAGTAAAATGCACAACAATAATAACTGAATGCAATATTCAATATCATGAGGTATCCATAATATACTGAAAATGATTAGACTATTTTATTATGCTTATACAATGTGTTAATTTTACACTTGATCAAACGAAATGTGCGGATACTAGATAAAAAATTATCGGTAAAAAATCGATTTTTTTTATGTAAACTATTTAAAAAATAAAAGCATTTTAATTTTTTTTGGTAAAATTCCCATCCTTCGGTTTTAAATTATTTTCTCTTTAAGTAAACGGTGTATTTTTTTCAAAGTAGTTTTATTTGAAAGTTAGAAAGATTAACTAGCAATAAAAATTAAAAAAAACCTACGAAATTTGTCAAAAAAATAATAAGATATTTTTTTTTGTTAAAAAAATACTTTTCTTTTTAATTTTTGGTCTGTAACTTCAAAACTAGCACATTGAGGTAACTTTTTCAGCATGTTTTATTAAACTGCATGATTTACTCAATACTCATGATTTAACAAGTTCTCCAAAATAACAAGGGTTCTATCTCTTGCCGTTGTTAAGATAATCACTGAAAATAATCTGAGCACAAAATTCAAAAGTGATTTAATAATGATTTTACTGACAAAATTATGGAATAAAACAAAAAAAAAACCGTAGAAAAATGATTTAATTTATTAAATTTTCAAAATGGCCACCATTTTCATCCATACATACAGTTGCACGTAATGCCACACTACTTACTGTTTTTTTTTAAATACAGTACGATTTTCTTTTATTTGACTAGCCGCAGCCATTATTTTTTGTAACAATTCTTCTCTTGTACTAATTGGAGTACTGTACACAATCTGTTTCATGTGGCCCCACAAAAAAAATTAGGGGGGTCATATCAGAGCTTCGTGCCGGCCACGCTACTGGTCCGCCTCGTCCAATCCATCTATCTCCGTATCGTTCGTTTAAATAATCACGCACGATGGTGCTGAAGTGAGCTGGAGCGCCGTCATGCTCAAACCACATCCTCCTCCTTGTTGGTAGATCCACATCACTCATCAGGTCAGGTAACTCTTCTTGTAGAAATGTTAGGTAAGCTGGGCCTGTCAACCTTGACGGAAGAATAAATGGCCGATTAAGTAACCACTTATCATTCCAGCCCAAACATTAATCGAAAATTCGATTTGAAAGGACGCTGGCCGAACTGCTAAGGGATTTTTTTCCTCCGGAGTCCACAAGTGAAGGTTTAGAAAATTTGTGATCCAAGTTCTGTTAAAATTTGCCTCATCGGTCCACAGAATACGGTCACAGAAGTTCGGGACTAATTGTCTTTGCCGCAATAGCCACGAACAGAAAACACTTCTTCCGACGTAATCTGGCTCGTGAAAATTCTGCACTCTTCGAAAATGAAAGGGGTACAAACATTCCTTTTTCAAAATTTTCCACACTTGGACGTGATTAATCCCCAATTGGAGTGCTATTCGTCGAGTACTAATGGTGGGGTCTTGGTATACGAAACGCAACACTTGTTCATCCACATCCACCGGTACAGTAGGTACACGTTCACGATGTGGGCGATGCAGTCCATTTTCACTTAATTCTCGATGTACTGCTAAGAAAACCCTGTAGTCAACGGCAGGTCTTGTCGGGAATCGCTGATGATACTCTCGAGAGGTGGCGCGAGCGTTGCCATCACAAAAACCGTAAATGTAATGAATGTCAGCTACTTCACGAGCAGACAATGAGTCTATCGTAGAAGACATAACGACAAAAAAAATGGTGAGCGTATTCAACGTACAAATTAGGTAACGTTACAAGATGAACTGTTTAAAATAGCTAAAGCTGCCTGCATGCCTTACGAGAACGAGACCCAAATCTCATTTAAACGACAATTCACTCTCTCACTCACTTATTTCGCCTTTCCTTGATCTATCATGATCATGACCAGGGGTGTTCAAATTAGAGGTAGGTGCGGCGCATAAGAGCAAATCAACATACCGATGGCATTCTTTGATGATTATTATTTTAAAAACGAAAAGAGATAGTACGCATGTTATTTTGGAGAACTTGTACAGTAAGCTATGTAGTTTAATAAAACATGCTAAAAAGATTATCTCAACGTACTAGTTTTGAAGTTACAGACCAAAAATTAAAAAGAAAAGTATTTTTAACAAAAAAAATTATCTTATTCCTGCTTGACATCGTAGGTTTTTTTTTAATTTTTATTGCTAGTTAATCTTTATAACTTTCAAATAAAACTACACCGTTTACTTAAAGAGAAAATAATTTAAAACCGAAGGATGGGAATTTTACCAAAAAAAAATGTTTTTATTTTTTAAATAGTTTACATAAAAATATTTTTTTCGATTTTTTACCGATAATTTTTTATCTAGTATCCGCACATTTCGTTTGATCAAGTGTAAAATTAACACATTGTATATGGATCCAATAAATTACTTTGATTTGACTTGAATAACAAGCTATCAAAATGTATGCAAAATTTTTTCATAATATGCAATATACCAAATTGAAATGTGTTTAGATTGAATGTTTGTAAAGCCCAAATAAGTAATAAGTAGTATTGCCTGTCAGGTGAGACAATAAACCCAAATCCCTCCTACAATAGGAGAGGCTCACGTCCATGAATGCCACTAATCATAGTAAAACAAAAAACACTACTGAGATTTATGTAATTGTGATTTTTCATGAACAATAGTTTGTAGTTTTGGATCCATTGATAAGTATAATATACATACATACATAATTGGTAGAAGTAACACTTTATGTACAGAGATTTAAGATGCTAATGGGTTTAGGTCTGTAAGCATTCCTTGTGTACCTACTTCATCTTGGAAAACGTTTTCTCACACAAGTAAGTAGTAACGAAAACAGAAAACAACTCATGAGCAAATTTATACAAATTATCAAATTGTACCAGTGGAGTTTCTTATAAAATTCCAACAAAGATACATTTTGATGTTTGTTCTTAATCATATCACTGCACTGTAAATCAATAATTTGCATTTGAACTTCCGGAGCCAGGGTTTCATATTCAGAATCCAAAGGATTTTGAAAAAGCTTAATTTAATTCGCAATGAAATCAAAGTCTGAGAAATGAGTATCAAAATTTATCTTTAAAGCTCTTTTTCGAGATTTCTTTCAACAACGATATCTCACGAACCAATCAACCGATTTCGATGCAGCCTGCAGCAATCGACGTTGTTTTTGAGTAGAAAACAGACTACATGTAATTCCAAAGAACATTTTTTTTATTAGAATTTTTGAATTTTTGATCTCCCGTAACAATTCGGTCCAAATTAACAGGGAATCTATTCAATTTCAAAATTCAGCAAGATTTCAGATGCCGCAAACCGTGTTTCGATAGGACACTCCGTTACAAACACGAGCACACACACACACACACACACACGCACGCACGCACGCACGCACGCACGCACGCACGCTCGCACACACACACACACACACACACACACACACACACACACACACACACACACACACACACACACACACACACACACACACACACACACACACACACACACACACACACACACACACACACACACACACACACACACACACACACACACACACACACACACACACACACACACACACACACACACACACACACACACACACACACACACACACACACACACACACAAACACGCACAAACACGCACGCACTCGCTCACACAGACAGATACTATCACATAATAGCCAGAATAGCTTCTTAGGACCTCGAAATGTGAGATATGATGATCGATTTTCGAAAATCGAAGTGAAAACAATAACTTCCCAATTTTTTTAAAATCATTGGTTTTCATAGCGGGAAGTTAAAAATGTAAATCAGATGATATTTATACTCCCAAAATCAGCAGTAGGTAGCAGTAGGTTAAGGTGCGGCTGGGATGGCCCTCGGGCCACCCTAACACCACTTACATTATAATGATTTAAAATATAATATTGAATGAATTAAACTTTTTAATTTTAAAACTTCAAAAAGTACAAGTCAAAACCACCAACATTCTTAGTCAAAATTACTTTTGCCTGATATTTGCAGTCAAAGGTGGTTTTGACTGGTTATGACTTTTGACTAGTTTAGACTGTAACATATAATGTTTCATTGTTTATATAATATCCAAAAAATATTAAAAACCTTTGAGAATGTATGATATGTGTTTATATGTACTTCAGCAGCAAGTAAAACTTACTATTTTATTCTTAGAAATGAGACGGACGCCTGTGTAAAGGGATTTTTAAAAAGTATTCACTTCACAGGTAATTAAGGATAATGCTTACACAAATTGAATGTGCAATAATTTAATAAACCATTTCAGGTACAGGGGCCACCACCCCATCATCCGACATTTGCTGCTTTTGTTACTGTAGAGCCAAATGAAACAGCAGCAGCACAGTTGGACCCGGAGAACAGCCTCCTGGGAACTGATGTCATGTTCCTGACTTCTTTCTTTGGTATAAACTCTTTTAAAATAGTTTTCATAACGGTTAATTTTGTTTGAAGTGTGTGTAGACAGATGCTAAGATGTTGAGCTAAATTCATAAACATACATTTTCAAGTCTGAAGATTCCTGTATCTATAAATTAAAAATTTCTTGTTTTTTGTGCCAAATATCAACCTTGAGGGTACCTCAGCGCAGACAAGTGTTATTTTTAGATGACTTCCAAAAAGGAGGATTTTTCTTAATTCAACGGTATGTTCTTTTCTTTTTTGAGAATGAATGACCCGATTTTAATGATTTTTCTTATTAATAAGTACCTCATGGTTAGTCCCATATAAATTTGGGGAAAAAATTCAACTATGACAACATTCTAGTTGTTACCTTGAATTTATATATTTTACTAAGTCCACTCATAAGGGTAAAAAGATATCAAACTCTTAATAAATAGTAAAAGACAACTCCAAAGAACTTCAAAGGTATAAAATAATATCCACATAAAAGCTGTTGAAGTCGAGGATTTAATACTTCTATACGCTATGGTACTAGGTAGAAAATACTAGGTATAATTTTTTGTTTACTGTACTTTTTAACCGTGAATGACGTCACGTGGACGATAATGTGACAAGGTTCCAGCGTATTACCAATTTGCAGAACTAATAATAATAATGTCCTCCAGACCGAATTTCGGCCACGGCAGCCTGCCTCAACGGAGGCTAGCCATCGGCGCAGGACAGGATTATAGTGCCTAAGTGTATGAGCAAGCACAGGTGCACTCTCTACTCCCTCACTCTCATAATCCGATGGGGCGGTAAACCGACACGACCGGAGAGAGATCAGGCGCAGGACCAACGGCTTTGTAGGTATTTGCGTATTTGAAGCTAAGTCTGGTGCGACGTTACATCTATGGTATGACAGATTGATTCTCATATACTCATCAAGGAAACGTGAAAATAACCTGTGAAGTAAAACTTCTTTACGCGCGCTTGACTTGGGGAGTAGGCTGGCGAACGCGTGACGAAAGCGTTAAGAAAAGATTGATCGGGCGAAGCGAAAGGGAGTTGAGTGGACGATATAAGCAAGAGAGAGCAGTGCACGCGCACATTTTATTTCTTTCTCTCATAGCCAGTTATTTTTCATAATTTTATTTCGTTTTTAACAATTTTATAAATTAATATTTTGTTCAATACATTAAATATTCTACGTTTAAAGTGAATAAAATTGTAAATTAATTTTAAAGTTCATGTTTTGTGAATTTTCGGGTGAATAATAACAAATTATGGAAGGAAGCCGATAATAAATTTAAATATTTGTAGAAAATTAATATATGTGTATGTATATACATTCATATATATATATATATATATATATATATATATATATATATATATATATACAGATAGCACCAAAGAAGTTTTTTTTCAGTCGTGTGGTCATAAACATACTCGTTTTTTATTTTAGTGGCATTCCTGTTTAACTGGATCGGCTTCTTGCTGCTGATGTGCTTCTGCCACACCGTGGCTAGTCGGTACGGTGCACTCGCCGGGTTCGGTCTCTCGCTAGCGAAATGGACGCTCATCGTGAAGCATTCTACTGAATTAGCTTCCCACGAGAATTCTTGGCTGTGGTGGCTTATAATGGCTTTTGGTGAGTAAGGTGGTGCACACGCTTTTAGAATGTAATAGTTCGTCACGTATTGTACACTATCGATGACCCAGACGTTGTACAGTTCTTTCCGGTAGGTGGTGTGATGGGTTTCACTCCAAATCTTTCACATACAGTGTAAAATATGAAATTAATTAATAACGCGACCACAGCGCCACCTATGTGATCTAGATTTTGAGCTTTTATAGAGCATAAATTATTTGTTTATCATTTCATATAAAATGTATTAATGAATAATATTTTAAGTTACATACCGTTATAGCCTATCAAAGTCCACTGTTGAACACAGGCCTTACCCATATATTGCTTCATAGGAGGGATATAGCTGCCACGCTTAGCAGACGGATTGGCAACTGCAGATTTTTATTTTTCTTCTAACAAGGAACAGGCTGCTGCCCATCTCCTGGTTTGTTTTAGTCCTGTGTCGATCGCGATTGATCGAATCTTTTTGATTAGGTTGCAACCTGTACGAGTGATCGAATCATGGATCTCTAAAAGATTCGATCTTATTTGACCCGGTTTCAAGGTGATAAGACAAACCAAATTCTACTCTTTTTTGCATTGTTTACATACATATAATCGATCGAATCGTGCAATCAATCACACAACGATGTAGTAAACAAAATATCTTCTGTCTCCTTCGTTTACATACAATTGAACCAATAAGCAAATCTTAGTATTATTACTATTATAGCACCTGTTCAACATTCTTCATTCGCTCATACAAAGTATACAAACGAGCTGCGACCCAAATGATTGAAACGATCGTATCTTTTTAACCTGATCACCATACAAGTTGGTTATGATCAAGCCCGGTCACGAGAAATGATCGATGGACACAGGCCTATTTTATTTACCTCTGTCGCCGCTTATTGTATTATTCTCGGTAATGGATATTCTTGCCCTGCACTACACGATGATTTAATTTACACAATTTATCTAAATAAATAATCTAATTCATTGTACCAAACTATTAAAGCAAATCCTCCTTGGAATTACTTTAATAGCTTGGTAGGTTGTTTAGCGACATCAAAGCCCGACGAACACGTATCGCACTTTGAACGGTGCTTACCTTTACCGGTCTGGATATTGAAGTTTTACTCCATCAAACACAGACGAACAGGTTTTACGTGCCTCTTACATAGCTGCCTCTTAAAACACTATGAAAATGGCGTATTAGATTATCTTACGCCCTACGACACGGCAAGATAACACTATTTCAACAATATGCGTACAAAACTTAAGCACATAAAATTTTGTTCCCCATTTTCAAGCATGTTGCCGCACACCAAGTGTGAGATTTGGTATAATTAAAGTTTGAAAACAAATTCAATAAATAAAATCAAACCATTCTTGTTTAGGTTCAAAGGCCAATGTTAAACATAATATAATAGTCTGTGATCAAACGCCTTGCTTATTATACAAATTTAAAGATTTCTTAAGTTATGGTCGAAATTCGACCACTAGCAGGATTTATTCAGTCTTACTTCAGTCTACATATAAGGAAACGGTCGCCCCATATATATGTTCAAGTTTTTGTTGTATTGTCCTACAGGTATCCTTATCTGCGTGCGTGCAGTTATTCAGTACCTGAACATCAAGCGTGGATGGCGCCTGCTTTCAGGCACTGCTCAAGAGAGACTTCTTTTCTTTTATTAGGCGTGCGCAGCTTTTATCTCTCCATCACATTATGCAGTTGCATATTATTTGAGACTTAAAGTAAAGGATAAAATAATAGTCATTTACTGCAGAATGATCTTAGGCAAGTAAAGATTTTTAGTTGCACAACAAAGCATATAATATATTTTAATGATAACGTTGACGAGAAATTGTTTTTATTACTAAAAAATTTGCTATCAACTTGGATAAATTAAATTTTATTTTCCTGGCAGAAATTTATTTTGAACAATTATTTTTAGTGTGATTTTATATCTCACACAGGTTTTGATGTATTTAACTATTTATTGGTAAGTTTATTTATTACAAGAGTAATTCCAAATTAGTAAATCTACCAAAAATACTGTAAAATTGAATTCAATTTTTTATCAATTGCTTCTTTAAAGATTTAAAGACATGTAAAATATTTTTTTTAGATTAGTAGTTCGAGGCATTTGCCGTATTGTATGTATAAGGCTGTATTATGTTGTGTGTAGTTTTAATGGAAAATGGATGAAATGATCTTCAAGTATCTCCTGTTCACAGATGATAATATTTTTCATAAAAAGATTCTTGTTTGATGTTTAATGCATTATAATAGATACCAATTTGGTAATGAATTACATGATATAAATATATATTTATGCTGTAATAATAAGTCACTTGCTACAAATTTTTATGATAATAAAAATATTATTTAAAACAGTTTAGTTAAAATAGCCACGATACTCTCAATCTAAGATTGTTGCAACTTTAGCTCGAATTATTGTTATGAAGTTCCATCTTTTAAGCTTTTTATATCTGATAAATATGAGTGTGGTTACATGTTTTCCTCTAATATTAAAAATGTTAAATCTACTAAAAATTGTGACTTTTCAAAAATACAAATGCCTTGTGCATTAATAATGTGATAATGGGCTTTGAATTTTGCAGTTTTCAACTTAATTAATTTGTATAATAGTTCGTATTCATTAAGAACTCTTTAGTTTATTGGTAGTAACTATAATTTTTAATGGCAATGTTTTCACTAGCAGTTATGTAACAAACCGATCGAAATATAATGATATATTCTGTCACGCCGCAACTACACGTCGTTCTAAAAAATATTATAAAACGTTTTAAAAAGAATTTGGGTTATATTTTAAATAATCCAATTATACTTGCTATGAGGAATTTCCACATTTACATGAAAAGAAATAGCTTTATGTTACGGAAACTAATATTACGCGCTATTGAGACAAAATCCATGTATGTTATGTATAAAAGGAACAATAGAAATTTAGAGCTGGAAGCCTTATCTCTTATTACAAAAATAGTATGTAATTAGTCTCATGTTAGAACTAGAGTCTGATCTAATAAAGAAGTACAGTTGAAAACATGCAAACTAAAATGTAAAGTATAGAGTTTTACAGCAAATATGAATTAAGCGAATACTGTGGCGTGTGTGCTTAGGGACTTCTTCCGTGAGATGTTCCCATCTTAAACCGTAGTTTAAGCTCGAGTCTATCAATTAACCATATTTTGTAATAAGACATTTACATTTTTTTCTACTAAAACGACTATAGAGCTGTTAGAAAGTCACAATTTTTGTATTTTTAGTCTGTAGGCAACAATGGCCGACAGCGCGCGATCGTGTGCTAAGGATGAAATTATATTAGAAGCGAAATAGAAAAATAAAATATTGAGTGTTTGATATGGTGACCGATGTCCCCAAATAAATGGTGTTATATGGTAGATTTGGTGTAGATTAGGTGTACGTAATAACAAACAATATAATTGTCATGATTAGTCATTTATTAATCTTTTAGACCTGAATGAATATGTATTTCAAAATTTTAAATTTTATGAATATAAATACATAGATCCTATGCAAAAATCATAATGCAAAGCATATAGATTAATTTTGTACAGAAATAAAAAAAAAGATTTTATGTTCATATATAATTTTATAACTGAATATGCGCAAAATTTAGTCACATTACTATAGATATGCTATACGCCAATATAAGGGAAGATAAGATATGAAGTCGTTATATGGTCGTTAGTTAAAGACATTTGAGGCCTCACTTATAAACGTCTTATGTTGCTTACTTGAATTAAGTCAATTTTGTCTGCATACCAGTCTCTTTCCAATGTCATTTAGTGAAAAGGGAGAGAACAACTTTAAGTATTTCTCTGATGTAATATAATAAATTTACTACTTTTTCTGCTGACATGGCAGCGTCACTTTCGAATGAGGTAAAATATTTGATAATTTCATAGCGGGGCAGTTAATTTGTTACACAAATGTAAAAGTTAATGTTTCTTTCTGTAATATTACTTATATTTTATAGTATTTTTATATTTTCTACTATTCGATACTATCGTTTCTAATCTAATTACTATAATGAGATTAGAAACGAATAAACCAAACTACAGATATACCGAATAGTAGAAAGAAATTTTAAAAAACGATTTAAAAATACGCAAAAAATAATTAAAAACACACCACTGAGGCATTGTTTTGTATAAATAATACAATACCCAGAAACTAATAAACTTTTATTTAATCTTACTTCTCAATTAAATGACATTGTGTAACCGTGAGTTTGTTGCACTGACGCGATTTTCACAAAAACACATGTTTTAAACACTGTTTTCTCTTAATGTATCAAAAAGCGCTTGCATAGTCAAAGAACATGTTGTAGTGAAATATGTTCGACAGTTTATTGTACATTACATATTTTAATTATAATATATCTTTATAACTACAGAAAGAAAATGTTTGAAAACAAATTTGTAGAAATATTGTCATGTTGAAAGATAAGTTTGAATATTTGTTGAAAATTTTACACAGTTTTTGTGAATGCGAACGCCACCATCAACAAAACATGTTGTGTGATTTATTTTATGCCATTTGTTTGAAAACATTATGTGCTGGATGTTTCTCAGTGCAAACGTATTGTAACAAAATACTTCATCTCAGTGTTTTTTTTTCATGTAAAGCGACACCTGGTGAGCGGAAGTATATGAGCTCTCATTGACGTCGATTTTTATGAGTAAGGTCGTTAATGTGGTTTGAAATCGCAAGTAAAGATCGCTACCGCTTTCACCAATTTGCACCAAATGAGAAACGATTATTTTAGATTTTATGTCGTATATCACATCCATATATCACAAAATATCTATGTTTTAGTGCAATATCGTCTAGTTCTCGGAGCTTAGAAACAAGATTTATTTAGTTTAGGTTAAGAAGTCTCTTTAACCTTTAGACCTAATATAAGCTTTGTTATGTTTAATTTATTATTATAAGTAAATTGTGAGTTTATTATAATGTTTGCTATGCATAGTGCGTAAATACTTCATGTAAAATATAATTTGTAAAATTTATCACAATATATTCTAATTTTACTCAGAATTGTATTTTATATTTTAATTTAAGCTCTCTCCGTTGTTACTACATTTTTTCCTAAACTGTGGATTTATCAACGACTCAGTTCAGTAAAAATTTTAGCAAGCAAAATAATGAAATTTTAAACCAATCAAAGTCGAAAATATAATAATAATAATAATAATGTCCCCCAGATCGAATTTCGGCCACGGTGCCCTGCCTCAACGGAGATTACCCATCAGCGCAGAACAGGATTATAGTGCATGCGCAAGCACAGGTGCACTTTCTATTCCCTCACTCTCATTTTCCGATGGGACGGTAAACCTACACAACCGGAGAGAGATCAGGCGCAGGACCAACGGCTTTACGTGATTTCCGAGACAAGGGGGTGAGACACCACCAACTTCCAGACTCCGGGCAACTACTGAGAATTTCTTGACGGAAAAACTCAATAATTAATTTTTTGGCCCGACCCGGGATTCGAACCCAGGACCTCATGATCGGCAGTCGCACTACTACAACCAAGAGACCAGCGAGGCGGTCTATATCTGATATATTCGTAAATATATCAGCATCATCAGTCATTACTGCCCATCACAAGTCTACTGTTGAACATAGGCTTCCACCAAGGAATATTACAAAGCATGGTCCTGATCCACCTGCATCCATCGACTTCCTGCATGTCTTACCAGGTCGTCACTCCATCTAGCGGGGGGTCGCCCTACACTTCGCCTACCGGTACGAGGCTGCCACTCGAGAACCTTTTTTCCCCAACGGTTGTCGGTTGTTCGAGGTATATGCGAAAGCCCATTGCCACTTCAGCTTACTAATCCGTTGGGCTATGTCGGTCACTCTGGTTCTACTGCTGATATCCTCATATCTAAGTTTATCACGCAGAGAAACTCCGAGCATAGCCCTCTCCATAGCTCGCTGAGCGACTTTGAGCGTATAGTGTATAGTAACCCTAGTGTATAGTGGGGTGCCGCCCTACCGATATCCGTTTACCGATATGAAACTGCCACTCTAGAACCTTTCTTTTCCAACGGTTGTCGGTTTTTCGAGGTATATAGCTGGCCTATTGCTACTTCAGCAAAGTGATCCGTTGCGTTATGTCGGTTACTCTGGTTCTACCGCGGATACTCTTAGTATCACGTTTGAAATTCCCAAGCGTAGTTCTCTCTATAGTTTACTGGGCGACCTTGAACTTTCTCATAAGACCAACAATGAAGGTCCACTCTCAGGTGTCATTAATGGCACCACGCAAACAGAGACAAACACTAAATATCTCAGGTAAAAATAATAATTTGCCTGAAGCTTGTGTATATAATGGTAAGCATTTATTAACAGTAACGAACAAACGGTTAACGCTCGCTGTAAATATAACAAAACGCGAGTAACCCGCGTTCGATCCCCGCCGGCATCAAAGAAATTGTTAATTGCAATAAGTGCTGATTTGCCACGTGCTCGGCCGTGAAGGAAAACATCGTGAGGAAACCTGCATGTCTGAGGAATAAGAAAAAAAATAAGACATGTGAAGTTCGCCAACTCGCATTGGGGCCGCGTGGCGGACACTTCCTTGCCCTAAAACCCTCTCAGAAATGAGGGGAGGCCTGTGCCCAGTAGTGGGACGTAT